GTGATAAGAGTTGTATGAGCCCCTAATAAAACGATTAAAAAAAATAAAAATAAATTTGTAAAAAAAAAAAAAAGATGCCCTCAGAGAATGGAGCCACCGAAAGGCTGGGGAAGCAGAGCTGCTGTCCCAGAGGCCTGCCCCCTCCCCTCCATGTGTCCCAGAATGGTCAGAATGGCTCACACACTCTGCTGGAGGTTCAAGTCTACCCCAAGGAGCCTTGGAAGAAAGACGATCCATCTGCTTCCAAACTGGGAACCCTGGGAGCCCAGGGCTTCTCTTCTACAGTTTTGGACACGGGTCACTCTGAGTTGCTATCCAGTTTTTGTAATAACTCCTTCACTGGGTTTGCTCCCTGACAAGCTGGGTGGGGTAGAACTGCCCTCCCACCCCTGGGGCCCTCTTGCAGGTGTGGGCTTGGCCACAGGGCACAGGATAATGACTCACCTACTGGCAGATCCTCAGGCAGCGTCACTACCATGCTATTCACGAAAACTGGAGCGGTGTTGGCTGCCACTGCAGGGAGAAGGGACACTGTGACATCTGGATCCCTGGCACGGCCTGACCCTCAGCTACCTCTCTAGAGCCACCCCTCCCAGCGCACTCAGACTGCCTCCAGGCCTCCTGGGGCCTCCAAGCACAGGATGGGCCACAGAAGCTGGGTGTTTCTGGAAGAGAAGTCACCCCTCGCTGCTAAGGGTCCCCAGCTAACTGCTGCTCTGGGGTGGGAGGAGGGGAACCACTCACCAGACACCATGAGGGCAGGAAGCAGGACGCAGGACAGCCATGGTGACGCCATCGCGTCTGCGGGGACCTAGGGGAGAAGACTTCAGGAAGGGGTGCCTGGACTCAGGCCTTCCCCCCTTTGGCAGGCCCTCCGCTGACTGGACTGCTTCGTGGACCCGCTCACCGCCACCACCCAGCATCCCCCCAGGGTCACACAGGCCTATCACCCGTTGTTCATCTCCCAGTTTTCCATGTTCCAGGGGTGGGGGTGGACAGCTGAGCACAGTCCAGAAACCCAGCCCTGGACGGAACCTGAACTTGGCCCAGCATTTGGCATCCACTGTATGTCAGGTTAAATGTATTATTTCATTATCTCTACAACCTCAGATGGCTCTTATCATTGGTCCATTCTATGAATGTGGAAACCGAGCCTAAGAGATGAAAGGGCTTGCCTGAGACCACTCTGAGAACCGGTGGCAACAAGGACCCGGTGTACATCTGCTACCTTAATACTAAACCTATAAATACATGTACAACAAGGACCCGGTGGCAACAAGGCACTTGGCGCACAGGTGTTTTAAACTCCAGAATACATAGCTTCAACCACTGCACTTAGAGTCCACTCTGACAGCATCTTTCAGACTCAGGAGGCAGGAGAGGGACCGTGCCTTGGCCAGGATCATCACAAGACTCCACGGGTGCATGTGAGTCCTATGTCCCACTTACTGACTGCCATGGCCACTGTTCCCAAAGTGCGTCCATAGAACCCTGAGCCTGGAAGGTGTCCCACAACAGAGAGGTTCCCTGATATTTCAAACTGGGACTGGTTGGATACCTGTTCCTTTTCCCTTCTTGATAATTCAGAGCTGGGCAGGGCCTCTCTGAAAACACTGCCTGGCACCGGCTTTTTGGCCATCTCAGGTTGCAAGCTGTCCTTCATTTAAGAAAAGGGGACGCTGGTTCACTGACACCGAGAGATCTGAAACCCCCAAACCTGTCATCCCCCCAAATAATTGATAGAGATTGCAACTACAAAAGGGTCAAGGAGTGTGGGTTCTTCAGATGTTTTGTTTCTTGCCCTCTATCAAGAAAGTGTTTTTCTTTTTTTTTGTTTAATCATTTTATTGGGGGCTCATTCAGCTCGTATCACAATCCATACATACATCCATTATGTCAAGCACATTTGTTATCATTATCATTTTCAAAACATTTTCTTTCTACTTGAACCCTTGGTATCAGGTCCTCATTTTCCTCCCTCCCTCCCACCTCCCTCTTGAACCCTTGATAATGTATACATTTATATTCATGTCTTACACTGACCTATAGCTCCCGTCACCCACTTTTCTGTTGTCCATCCCCCTGGGAGGGGGTTATAAGTAGATCATTGTGACTGGTTCGCCCTTTCTCCCCCCACCTTCCCCTTCCCCTCCTGGTATAGCTACTCTCAATATTGGTCCTGAGGGGTTTATCTGTCCTGGATCCCCTGTGTTTCTAGCTCTTATCTGTACCCATGTACATACTCTGGTCTAACCTGATTTGTAAGGTAGAATTGGGATCACAATAATGGGCGGGGAGGAAGCATTAA